TAAAAAATGTGAAATGTCAAAAAATAAATGTCTAAATTTTTTGATAGATAGAATTAAAAAAATTGTGAATAGAAAAGTGTGAGTACGAACGGCTGCGCCGCGAGCCCCCTAATTTCCATCATCTATTCTTACAAAGCATTCGCAAATTCAATAGGATTTAACCCGATCCACTAGTATTAATATAAAAATTTTACAGACAAATCTAAAAACTCCAATTGGCCACCTGTAAGCCATAAAAAGCACTAAACAAGCAAAATAACTTATTTGTTTGGTTCAGAAGCCGTGAATAGCCTCTTCAAGCCATTTTTACGAAATTAAAACTTGTGTTTCAATGTGTCCAATTAGTGTTTTCTGCGTTCTTTTCATAATTAAAAAAAACCATAAGTGCCTTTTCGTCGTCAAAGAGCCAATTCAATTATACAAAATGTGTGAGTCAATGAAACGAAATAATTGGATTATTGGCTAAACATAAATCAAAGGTTTGAAAATTTTACACTCAATTTAAGACCATTTTAGAAAGTAATCAATTCTAATTGATTGTATATAAAAGCACCTGTCGCTACCTTGACGTTAACGAAATGGCTGTTATTTTTCGCTGACCAACTGCGTAACCGATTTTTATCACGTCTGCGACTTGTCAATTCGGTAAAACGTGCCTTAATCAAAAGCCATCGAAGGATAATATTCTCCCACAAAAAAACTCTAATCCTTTTCACGTATCCCCGGACCGAAAATCACACCCAAAGACCCGGAAAAAGAAGGATTAGACTCCGGAACAACAATAAAAAGTGACTCAGCTTATTTATTTGTGAGTTTCGAAAAGTTAATTTAATCCCGCGATGATCCCGTAATACACATTTTATATGTGCATAACTTATCCAAGGTAGATTAAAGTGCAAATATCATATTCGTAAACCTAATACATATTTCAAATATAGTAAAATAGAGGTTTTACGAGCCTTCGACTGAACTGATCGACTGTGGGTCGGGGTATTTATAGACAGGCCAGTTACAAGGGCGGGGCTAATCATCCCCACCCATTTACTCGTAGCCCACTTTCCAAAAGTGTCCCGAATTTCCTGAAAATTTCCAAGTTGAATAAATACTAATCGATCGCTTTTATGAAACATGAATGGGCATTATCGCATAATCCGATCGATAGTGTTACAATATTAAAGAGACAATTTTCTAGTGGACATAAAATCGAATAAAAATTCGTAAATATTGAGACTCTAAATGAATTAGTTAAGACCGAAAATAGCAGAAACTTACTTCCGGTGCGATGAAACTGCGAAAAAAGTACGAACGATAAAATTAATGGCACGTAAATTTTCATACTTGAGATATTTATTTCGTTTTAAAGCTCTCGGCGAATTTTACACATTTTTAATATCATAAACGCTATCATTTGTCACGAATTAACGTTCTATTAAATTATAAACTGAAATGGCTAAAAATTCGCAACATAATTCAAAGCTAACGCTATTATCATAGATAATAACGAGCTCCTGGTGGTATGAAAATGACAAAATGTAATCGATGTATGGTTTAGCGTTATAGCCGAAAATCGATTTATTCTACACAAATGCTGCTTTATTATAAATTAATTCATAGAGGCTGCGTTATCATCTTTGTTTGAGCCAACAGATGGCACCACTATTTCTCAAACTGAACTAAATTAAACTGTCAGTTAAAGAAAATTGCTAAGATTTCCTTAGAGGCAACTTTTTTAATTAAAAAAATAACAAAATGGAAAAAACACATTCACTCCCTGTCTATTTTCGAATCGTATGCGTCGTCAACAACCACATAAACTTGCTTCTTTATGTAAATATCGTGTTTACGATGTTGACAAAATCCCTTGTGAAATGTCACTAAATCTCGAAAATAAGCTAGCGAGAAATGATGAAATGTTAAATTAGCAACAATAAATCGCCAACAGGTGATGCGATAACAATGTAACGACGACATTAGCCCGTTTAACAACTCTCTTGTAACATTATGATGCTTATAAATCTTAGCAAATGTACCAAGATTGTTTTGCTTCATAAAACCGAGCGACTCCTTTAACCTTTTTTTCGAATTGTCTTCATAATTTGATTGCAAAAAGAAACTCCAAGATTCTCGTGTCAGATCATAATTTTTCTTCGCAAAATGCCATGTCAAGCACACGCGAGGGTTATTATTTCAGTCATAATTAACGTTTTTAAGGCACTAATAAAAAATAAATAAAATTTAGAGGGCGTTGGATAAGATATTCCCAAAACTTTAATTTTTATCTCAAATCTTGATTTTTTACGACGCACGGAATTGCTTAGATGATTTATCAAAACGATTTGCATAAAAATATCATTTGTTACTGTGAGAACAAAAAAATTGTAATTAATGTCAGAAAATGTTGTAACTTAATTAGGAGGGGAGATTAAAACCCGGTTGTAACTTACTTCAACAAAATATTAAAAAAAAAAGAAAAAATACATCAGCTTTTGGCCCAAAGTCAATTTTTTTGTTGACCTTTTTTAGAGTTTATCTGCGTTATTGTTGTTTTGCATTTTAAATTAATATGGCATTTATTAATATTTTTATTCTTCGACACTGTCAAAATTTACGGTTTTTCTCCCGTGTAAGGAAGTTTTGACAACTGTCTGGCATTTCTCAATACAAAACGTCAAATTATTTTTAACAGATTTAAAGCAAATTTAAGCCTTGTTGACCTTAATTCGAAGAATAAAATGTTGTATTCCACTCGTTTGAGTGTAAATCGGACGCTTTATTCCACCTCGTGGATGGTAAACCACTCGTTACACACGTGGTTTAAAAATCCACTCGGTCAAATAAAGAGTCCGATTTACACTCAAACTCGTCGAATAAATTACTATTAAACAATATTCTGAAATTATTACCAATACATTTTGCTACGTTTATAATTTCTTTAATAACACTAGTTTACAAAAAACATTTTTATAGGTAAGGTTTTACAGGCTGTTCCAAAATTATTTAGCACAAATAGAATCACAACAATGTATAGAAACCGCTAAGATCATTCAATTTTGGCAATTTGTTTAGAAATAGTTAAAAATGGTTACAAAGTTTTAGAATTAAATATTTGTTTGCCATCAAACGAAATTCTCTCATTATAAAAATTAATCTTAAAAATTATTTTTTATTTCAAGCATTATAGGCATGTTTTCATGTATCAAAGTTTATAAATGCGTACATAACCAAACTAAACAAATAATCATGTTCGAAATTTAACTTTATTTTTAAAATAAAAGATTTGTCACTAAATAAATTGTATCAGAACCTTATTTCGATTTTTATAAAGTTTTATTAATTTTTAGTTAAAATTGTATCTTATTTAACTCTGTATTAAAAGAGTTGCTTATAAGACTAAATACAAATTGTCATCTAATAATTTGACGATAATTATGTGAGAAAACATCTGTTTCTAAGTGCAACTTTGTGTACTTAATTACTTTTTCATAGACCCAAATAAATGTATGTACAAATAATCATTTTAATAATATGGTATCAACAAGTTGGTAACAGATCTATTATTTTGAGAAAAAATGTAATTACTTCGTAACTAGAAATGCAATAAATTGCTTATTGATAAAATTACATTATTAAACATTTATTTTTGAAATGTAAAAGTCGATTTATAGAAGCGTCATTAAGTTAATGCAATCAAACGTCAGATTAGCTGATCACATGGCCAAATATTGAACCAACTAAATGCTCAAATTCACAGGTTAATCGCGCATTAACTTTTAACAACAAATTATTTTTAGTTTGCTTTCTATAAACCGACCTTTAGGTGTTTTATTTCACTTAATTGTTTTATTTTCATTTTTTAATATTTATATTTTTCTTATTTAAAAATCGTTCGCGTTTGCAATACAGGATGTGTCAAAACTCGCATCGTAGAGAAAAATTTCCAAAAATATACCAGGAACATGGAAAAAATGTTTAATTATTTAGTAAAGGTACAAAAATTTTGTCAATAAAAGACACAAATAATATTAAACAGTGTTACAATTCAGGATACAGCAGCCTTGATTCCTCTCTAATAGCTTGTAGCAAAAAACTTGAAACATTAGTTTTCCAACTGAAATAAATAAAGTCAAAGTGCAAAATTTAAACTCTCATAACTTCGAAATTTTTATAGACAGAATTTTTTTAACATTTGTTTCATGATCCTGGTATCTTACCTAACATGCTACTTTTTTCTGAAGCGCGTATCCTGTATAAACAGATGCTAAAGCGCAATTTCCAAAGATTTTAACACCTTTTTGGCAAAGCGACAAAAAACGATTTATTTCCGCAAAAATTGCGTTAAATAAGAGATGATCTACTTGAAAACGTGCCTTTCATCCTCTTCCTTTGTCTTCTCGAACCAAATTCGGTAATAAGTCTCATAAAAGCCTGTCAGTGGCAATTCATAAGCCATGCATATATCGAGTTACCTTGAACGTGAGCTCACAAAACATAAAATTCGAATGATACAAACGTAAATAAACAAGAGAAATAAGCGGGTTTGTTTGCAGAAATGTAAAGGGGAAATATGTGAGGGTTTTCAGATCGCCCAAGAGAATAAAAAGCGGTAACCCATCCAAGAATCTGTTATTTTTTTCAAATTCTGTCTTTCCCGATCGATACCACCTCAAATAATTCGCTTAATTGCTTTGATTTATATCTTGAGGGAAATTAATTTTCAATTATCCTTTCAAGTGAATTCGTTTCGCTTGCAGAACCATTATGTGCAAGGCTTTGAGGATTAAAAGCAGCGTTTGTTAGTAAACCATTAAAAACTTATCTATTCATAGTAATCTTGCAACAGTTGAAAGACATATTCTTCTAAACGAAGCCCGGTTTCCACAGCGCCATCTGTTACATTAATTCTGGTAATTCCGTAAATAGTTTCAAAATTACTCGAGGGAAAGTTTAAAAAAGTTAAAATTAGTTTGAATTTAATATTGCGGGTAGAAGAATGGACTTACCTGAGAAATGAAGAAGTAGCACAACAACAATATCCGAAACTCCGATCCCGCGCATTTTGTTACTTAAATTACCTGAAATAAAAAAAGAAATAATGAGAATTAATCAAATATGGAAATCTCTGGATAATAAAACCCGACTCTGAGATGTGGAAAGCACTCGAGTTTGTTGAAGAGTAATAATTAAAAAACAGCATAAAAAGTTAACAAATAAGATACCCTCCACAAAGGAATTTTCTCATTTAATGTTTAAAGCAATTACTCTGCGATTCTGTTAAGTTGCCACACATTTCGTGCAGAAAATCATTCATTAATTACGAGACCGAAATAAAAATTAATTGTTCGTTTTATTGTTGAGCCTCAAGCCTAATTAAAGCAATACATCAAAAAAGGGAAAAAACACCGGACTTTTATTTGAGATTAGTCAGTCAAAATTTGAAGTAAACAGCATGTTTATCAGGATCGTTGCAATTTCATGCGAAAAAGTCATTTTCTTGAAAGTTTCCTTTTTTGCTCGGAGATCGTTCAAAGATACTACCGTCAACGTCAAACTCGGTTTAAATTTAAAGCGACTTATCCGTGATAAAGTAGAAATACTTTTAAATATACCGGCTCTCGAATAAACAAAGTTTAATTCTTTTCTTGGTCGCTTATGCACGAAACGAGTCATTACTTGTGTCACCCCTGTTATTAATGACATTCTTCATAAACCCGGATTAAAAAAGATAATCCTCGCTCCGGCCTGATATTGACAAATGAGAAAATGGAAAACCTGTTGAAACTCCACCCATTAATTTCGATATGTTTGATGAGAGCCACACGTGTGGAAAAATTCAGTTTCTTGTCCTATCGGATGCTTCAGGGAGAAACAAATTGCATACATCTCATCCATATTTGATTTTTAAAGTGGAGCTGAATTGAATATTGGATTATATTCGATTATTTCCAGCGACACCTACATGAGACCCAGATTATCCAAAAGCCAATTATTTATTCATCAAAGCGAATTCGGGCTACGTAATTAGTGTTTTTTTTTATCAAAGTGCCACACAAACCTCACTTTATCGATGAAGATTGATGACACCTACACGACTTATTAAATTAATAAGTTTGTCACTGGAGCACAATAACAATTGCGGCAATTGTTGTTAAAAATAACTCACTCTCCTAACACAAAAGGAGCCCCACAAGTGGTAACTAAAGGTCAAATCAAATCCATTATTGAAAAGAGTGAACCTCTCAAGACGCGCGTCTTATTGCATATCTATCTCACTTAGTCGCAAAATTAGTTTAATCAATGTTTTTATTGATCTCTTGTGACACTTAAAACAGTCACTTGTATCGAAGTACGTATACAAACTTTAACTGCTTTATTATCTTATAACAGATGCATCAAAGTTGGCTTTGCTTCAAATCCACAGTAAAGCTCCATCTTGTCTTGTAAACTTCCAACTAGAAACTAAGTATTATTATTATTTCCCTTGTGTCATAATTTGTATGCAAATTAATATTTTGGCGATAATGACTAATTTATATTCCACGATCGATTCGCACTTTAAAAACTAATATCCGCGTAGCAACTTGTTGATTTTAAAGCAATCACACACTTATTTGCACTCTTTCCACGACATAAAAATATTTTCCGGTGATTCCCCGAAAATAATTTTGGTCTATATTGTGGTAAAAAATTGCAGTAAGTTTCTTACTTTTTAGAATAGTTTTTCCGGTTTTTCGCCACTGGAAAAAACCATAATCACGTCCACTGACTTTGCACACTTGTCTCCGAATGAGCGAAAATTTCCCCCGTGAAAATTCGTTTCGTTGAACTACATGGAAAAGCCCAATAACCACCGTACAACGTTCACAAACAAACTAAACTTGTCGGAGCTTACAGGGGGTACATTGCATTTGTCTCGCTTTCCCTTGTTGAATTTCCGCAGTTTTTCCTTATCGCACGGGAAATTCATGCGCTTAAGCTCCCGCCAAGTATATTCATTGACGAAAACACCCACCTTGTTCTCTTTCACGGCGTATTTAAATAAAGTTAATTTTTTATGAGTTGAGCTTTATAATGTTTTTGATATGGAGGATAATGGTGTTTTCCCGGAAACGATGGGTGGATCAAGGATGCGGGAGGATCCGAGGTGAGGATTACGTGGGAGAAGTTTTTATAAGGTATGGGTGTATTTGTAAATAGGTAAAACCTGTTGACGGTTTTAGCTATGGAATGGGAAGAGAGAAAAGGTTTGAGGGAGGATTTTTAGTCATTTGGGGATTTGAGGAGTCCCGGAACGAATATTAAAAAAATTACTTCAAGCCAGTGAAGGGTTTTTGTAAAGAAATAGCTTTTGTGATGCAAGTTGGAGCAATTTTGTATTATTTTATACAAGGTGCGCCAGAACTCGCGCCCCATGTAAGGTAATTTACTAGGAACATGGAAAATATGTTAAAAAAAATTTATCTATAAAAATTTCGAAGTTATGAGAGTTTAAATTTTGCACTTTGACTCTATTTATTTCTGTTGGAAAAATACTTTTCCAAATTTTTTTGTTACAAACTATTAGAAGAGGAAACAAGGAAGCTGTATCCTAAATTGTATCTTTATTTAATGTTATTTGTGGTCTTTATTAGCAAAATTTTTGTACCTTTACTAAATAATCAAAGAAAAACATATACAAGATCATCAGTATCATTGAATAGACATAAAAAAATGTCAAAAAATAAATGTCAAATTTTTTTGACAGATAGAATTTTTCATGTTTTTATTGCGTTTTTGGATTACTCAAGTAATTTTGAGAGAGTTTTTATTGGACTTCCATATACCAAATATTACCCGTTTTTGAAATATTAGTACTTTTTCAAATTTTTTTAATTTGCATCTTCCTCTCCAAAAATCTGTAACTCTACAATTTTTAATTATTTTGAAATCGTATTTGGGCATATGAAAAAGAAAGGTTAGACCTTTTCTTTCGTGTATTTATAATTGAAAAAATAATTAACAAACCTCCAAAATTTAAGATTAAATTTGGGAAACTTCAAATACCCGTAACATAATTTTTTTCAAATACATAGAAGATCCCATTTTTTTTTTTGACTTAATGAAAGAGAATTTATTTCTGCATCGATCTGTATCAACATTCCCTATACCTAAATTTAATTATGTCCAAGTTATTTTGACTTTTTTTTGCAATGGTAGAAATTCATTACTATCCATGGTAGTTTTCGCATAGTTTACCATGGAAACATTTCTCGCTGAAAAAATCCCAAGTGTTTTTTCACAATTGTGTAATTTTTTCGTAAACACAAATTAAATGTATTTAATCTAAATTTTTTCTTTTTTCTATGAAAACCTATGCTAAAATAGCTAATAAATTTCTCACAATATTAAAAAACTTACTATAACATAAAAACTATCAAACATAGGTATAAGAAATGTTAATACAAATCGAAGCAGAACTAAATTCTCCTCTATTTAGTAAAAAAAAAATTGGGGTGTTTCATTAAGAAAAACTGAGTTAAGGGTATTTGAAGTTTCCTAAACGTAACATTCCATTTTGACGGTTTGTTAATTATTTTTCCAATTATGAATATACCAAAAGAAAAATCTAACCTTTCTCTCTCGTATACCCAAATACGGTTTCAACATAGTAAAAAATGGTAGAGTTATCGATTTTTGAATAGGAAGATTCAAATCCAAAAAAATTTTAAAAGTCTAAATATTTCGAAAACGGTTAAACTTAAGTATAGGGAAAGCTATCAAAATCACTTGAGTAATCCAGAAATGCAATAAAAAACATAAGTTTCTATTTAAAATAACGAAGTTGATATCCACTTCCGGTGTAACAGGAAGTGCCGCCATCTTGAAAATAATTTCATTAAGCAGAAACTAACCGATTATGACTATAAACAAAATTTTAGATAAATATCATTGTTAGAACTCCCAATACTTCTAATGTGAGGTTTTGCCAGAACACCCTGTATAGTTAAGCACAAAAAATTAACTAAATCACTCAATTGTTAAAATTTTGCTGACAAATCTATAATTTTAGAATGCAATTTGCGATTTTTAATCAATAAATGTGTATAAAGAGTCAACAAGCTTTAAAAATTCCATTAATTTGAAATTTCCTTGGTATAAATATGAATCTAATTTCTACAATATTCAGTATTGCCAATTTAATTTTATTTAATTTTTTTTGTATTCAAGTTATTTGTGNATATACATCTACCAAATATAATTAATTTTTGTTTTGGGAAATATTACCAACTAAAAAAGACCATAATAATACCGTAATAATAGTGTTTTACTTATTATCAAACCGTCACTGGATTTTGTAACAAAAAGTACAATCACTTTCAATACTTAATTGACAATAAAACAATAAAAACATAACTTTTTTAAATAAAATTAGTCAAAACTTGTGAGACTCAACCAATCAGAAAACGTGTTCATGACATCATAGCCCGAAATGCGTTGACGCGATTGGTCTAAACTAATTATAATGAAAAAACGACTTTTTATGTATTATTGTTAACGATATTTTTACAAATGTCACCTAAAAACTATTTTTATTAATAGAAATTAAAAGTCTGAAAAAAACTGAGGCATAAATTTGTTACAAAAACTACTTTTGAGAGAGTGGAGCGAATATGAGTAAAGTTTCTAAATAAATAAATAATTTAATGCTCAAACTAGATAATGTTCCTTACCTTTCGATTAAAAGTTTTCAACTTTGTTATATAGTTTGTTGTATCGCTTATTTCTTTATTTTATCAACAAAATAAGTGTTTATCACTTTAACTAATGCGACGTAGTTCCCAACAATTGATTCGTGTTACAAAAAGATAACAAATGAGTTGAGAATATGTATTAAATTATTTAATCAATAATTTTAAAAATGATTAAAGTGTAATTAAGTGTTATTACGTTCCTCCAAAGTGGTGTTTTTTAATTAAATAATTAAAGCCAGTGGCGTATCGTTGTTATACAGACTGTTTGGAAACTAATACATATTTAAAAACGTTTTAATACAACTCCGAATTTTTTGAACAATTATTTTCATTGTGTAACAAAAAATTACAGATTTTAGTTAATTCGCGAATTTGCGAAAGAATAATAAAGAAAAAAAATCATGGACTAGGGAATTGTAACTCTCTTGGGTCAGCGTAATAAATCAAGGTTTCACTCAACCGGACGTTAAAAAAAAAGGCATAAAAGTGTTGATTTCTATAACAAGGCCTAGGTGATGGAACAAATTTTCAACATTCTTGTTAGATCTCCAATTTAGATAGGAAATAATTCCGAAATATGGCAATAACGAAAGCGTTGCATGTCACGTAGGTGGTGAAACTCCCTCGACATGCAATTTTAAAAATATCGCAATGTTTTGAAAGCATTCGATTGATTCGTTATGTTGGCAATCGAAAACTGTTCATCAGGTAAAAGAGGACGAAAGAAAAATACCATCAGAGTGTAAAGGTCGACTTATTTGGACTGAAAACAAGTCACCATCACCATTGAGAATAAGAATAATACATTTGGGGTAGAATATAATTAGCAAATGTGGAAACTAGACGATGTTTTGGAGCAAAGCTTTGTTATTGCGGGGTTTTATCTCTCAAATCAATGTTGCCGAGGTAATGTATATGATATGTGAGGCGAAAAACCCCGAAATACGATACATACTGGGTTATCATTTCTTCTTATCTGAAACCTTCTGGGAGAAGAAGATTGGCCGAAATGGCAGTTATAATTATCTTAAAATCAATAAAAGCACCTCCGAAATAACTTTCTATTTTAAACATTAAAAAGAAGAGGCGAATATTTTATTCAAGCATTTATCGATTTTCATTCTATAAAACGCAAGAGATATTTTCTTGCAGTTTACCCTTCTCACTGTACCAAAAACCTCAATTATTTACAATACAAGATTGGATTTTTATGTTTTGAAATAAGTCAACACTGGAGCTTATTCTGGCCAAAATCCATATATCTAAATCTGTTTACCTACAGAAGTTTTATTGAATGTTTTTCACTTGTGTTACGATGACTGGAAGCGACCGACTAACAAATATTTATTACGACAAGCTTTATCGCAATAAATACAACGGAATCAACACTTTTGACCCACTTTTTCCAGCAAATACGAACTATTTATGAGCTCAAGAGCCACTCTTTTTTGTGTT